AACTGCCCCACAGGGTTTCCTAGGCTGTCAGCTTTACAGGTGCAGATCGCCAGGTCTCTGCTCTTGTGGAGACCTTGGGTGGGTTTGAAATGCTAACCTTTCAGTTAGCACCAGAGCCCCTAACCACTGTGTCACCAGAGTTCCTTAGTTGTGCCTAAGACTGCAGGGTGGGGAGTCACACTAGATGGGTTTAAACATGGCTCTAGTACTGAGTATCTGTGACTTTGGGAAAACCCATGAAAACAGCTGAGCCTGAGTTTCCTCCCATGTAAAGGGTGATGACAGTACTGAGCACAGAGTTTTGTGGGCATTAATACAGCCCATACATTTCAGGAGCTCAGGAGAGTCCCTAAGGAGCCCTTGTGCAGGGGTAAAGCACTAGGCTTCCAGTAAGGTCAGCAGTTCAAATTCACCAGCTGCTCTTTGGGAGAAAGATGAGTTTCCCATAAAAGATTGAGAGCCTCAGAAATCCTCAGAAGCAGTTCTACTGTGTTCTATAGGGCCATTATGGAGCAGAATTGACTGGGAGGTGTGGGCTGCTAGCCCCAAACAAATCAAAATCCTGGGGCAGAAGCTGGGCCTACTTGGCGTCTAACAGATATTCCCTTTGGGTTGTCTTTGCTAGTTTGGTTTTGATCTCTTGTTGAGTTCTGATCACATGCTCCTAAAAGAGCTCTGGTAGTATGGTGGTTTAAATGTGGGCCTGCTCATCTCAAGGTCAGCAGTTCAAATCCACCAGCCACTCCTCAGGAGAATGATGAGGCTGTCTGCTCCCGTAGAACTACCCTACGGGGTAGTTCTACACTGTCACAGATGGTCACTCTGAGTTGTAATCACACAATGGCAGTGGGGGGAGGCAGGTGGGTAGACAGTGCCTGACATACACTAAGAGAGACCTCAAACATTAGCTACTATTTTGTGTTTAAAGAAAACCCTTGGAGATTCTCTCACATCCTGCCCTGGTGGTGGTGGTGTGTGCCGTGGAGTCGGTTCTGACTCATAGTGACCCTGGTTTCTGAGGCTGTAAATCTTTACAGGAACAGAACACCTCATCTTTCTCTCGCGGAACTGCTGGTAGTTTAGAACTGCTGACCTTGAGGTAGGCAGCCTGACTCGTAACCACTATGCTACCAGAACTCCTTCACATCCTGCCTTCGGTTGGGGTTAAAGTCTTATGATAGGAAGACTCATAATAAAGAATTTAGTGACATCACCTATCTGAGCCATAGATTCATGTTAAGAAGTGATTTCCTCGTTAGCAAAGTAACAAACATTTGATCTTCACTGCTTTTCTTTCTTTTTGGGAAATTCTCTGATGTTGTTGTTGTTGTTGTTAGGTGCCATTGAGTTTGTACCAACTCATAGTGACACTATGTACAACAGAAGGAAACACTGCCCGGTCCTGGGCCAACCTCACTACTGTTGCCACGCTTGAGCCCATTGATGCGGTCACTTGGTCAATCCATCTCGCTGGGGGTCTTCCTCTTTGTCTCCGACTCTCCACTTTATCAAACATGATAGCCTTCTTCAGCAACTGCTCCCTCCTGACAATATGTCTGAAGTACGAGAGACGAAGTTTGGCCATCCTGGCCTCCAGGGGGCTCTCTGGCTGTACTTCTTCCAACACAGATCTCTGATATTAGGTCTTGAAAATCCATTTTTCAGTTACAAATCGTTTCTACCTGCTATTGGAACAGCTGAAAGATACTTCAACACAAAGGTGCCCTGGTGATAAGGTGATAAAACGCTTGGCTGCCAACTAAAATGTTGGCAGTTAGAACCCAACCAGTGGCTCCACGAGTGAAGGACCTGGCGATCCCATAAAGAACATCCCCCTCAAAACCTACTGCCACCGAGCTGTTTCTGATGCAGAGCAACTTTGTAGTTTAGAGTAGAACTGCTCCCCAGGGTTTCTGAGACTGTGAATCTGTACATGAGCAGATAGCCTCATTTCTCCTGCGGAGCAGCTAGTGGGATTGAACCGCCGACCTTTCAGTTAGCAGGGCACCATTTAGCATAAAGATGACAGCCAGGAAACCCTATGGGACAGGATACTGTGTCACATGGGGTCACCATTAGTTGAAATTCAAGTCCATATCACCAAACAACGTCAGCACAAAGGAGAGTCTCCCATTTACACACAGCGTGATGACAGCTTGTGTTTAAAGGTTTTAACGATGCCAAGAGTTGGTACATTTCACCTCAATTCAGACCCGTGTGTGCACGAACAACCATGCTCGTTCCTTTGTCAGTGACATCTGAAAACAGTCAATTCCAAGTTCAAGTCTCTCGCCCTCAATGACATAGATCACATGGCTTACATACCTGGTGAATGGAGCTTCGTGGTCGAAGCTGCAATCCTCTTGGGAGATGAAACCGCAGGCTTATGAGCATCTTGATCTTTGGGGGCTTCTTTCTTTGTTCCTATTGAGAGTTAAAAAGATAACGTCAGGAATGAAGGCGGGAACAAAGGAAGCTACAATGGACACAGTAATGTAAGTGGTTTGTGGCTAAACAAAGGGTAAACAAGACCAAAAATAACTTTGGGGTGATCGGTTTCTGTGGCTACCAGCCATCTGCAAGGAACGGCGTACTCATCCACAGTAAAGGGGTTTTAGTTTTGAGTCATCAGAAGAGAGGGATCTGTTTGGTAAGGTGGAGGGTCAGAACAAAAGAGGAAGATACCCAGCGAGGTGGATTGGCAAAGTGTAAGTGGCAGCATCAATGGGTTCAAGTGTGGCAACAATTGTGAAGTTAGCCCAGGACTGGGCAGAGTTTCGTTCTGTGTGCATAGAGTTGCTATGAGTTGGTACTGACTCGATGGCACCTAACAACAACAACAACAACAGAGGAGTAAGTACACTGACGTCTGGCTGTAGGCTGCTAACTGCCAGGTCGCTGGTTCTAACCCACCAGCCGCTCTGTGGGAGAAAGATGAAGCGGTCGGCACCAAACAAGATTTGCAGCCTGTGAAACCTATGGGGCAGCTCTTCTCTGTCCTAGAGGGGTGCTAGGAGTTGGAATCGACTTGATGGCAGTTGGGTTTGTTTTTTAATTTGATGACAAAGATCTTTTCTCTGGAGGTCACTGCCACACAAGCTTCCTGACAATGATCTAGATATTCAGTTGGCCAGCCTCCCTCTGCCTAGACACGTTCTCAGGAGACAGGAAGGAAGCCGTAGCCGGAACATAACCTCTAATGAATTGGGCATGGGTGAGAGCCATGACACAGGGAACATGAATTTCCATGCAGCTGTGCACAGATGTGATCCAGACAGTTGCGCCTTCCTGGACCTGCTGCTGGAGCTGACCCCAGTAGAATGGGGTAGTTGGTGGTGGTTGGTGAGCGCCCTCGAGTAGATCCACCTGAGAGCCACCCCGTGTGACAGAGCACAACTGCCTCAGAGGGTTTCCGAGACTCTGCATCTTCTCCGTTGGTCATCCCCTCTTGGTCAGCAGTTGAGTGCTTCGCTGTTGCGCCACCAGGACTCCTGGACGAAGCTGCTCAAACCAAGGGCAGGGGCACGCAGGCCCCAGTGCTGTGTCTTCCTTTGCGAGTCTGGGTCAGACCCTCAACTTCAGGGTGCCTCAGAAAGTCAAGGAGCAGTGAGGGACTAGAGAAATAATCAGATAAGAGGGGGCTTCAGAAAGCTCCTGAAAAAAAAAAGCCATTATCTTCCAATTGCATTTTCCCTCTCGTAGCTCTGGGAGGAAGGTTCCCTTCTAGGGGATTGGGGAGAAGCTGCTGTTTGGATCTTATCTCTTTCCCCTTCATTTTCTGCCTTTGGCTTAATTATGCTTCTGCTTACCCCCTACCTAACCCACTTTCCACCCTTGTCCAATACCTTCCTGCTCTTATATTCACATTAAAAAAGGAAAAAAACTCACAAAAAGAGCATCATAAAACTATTAGCTAATTGTGACTCTTCGTGACCCTGTGTGTGTGAGACTAGGGTTCTCAATGGTCACTTTTTAAGCAGTAGATTGCCTGGCCTTTCTTCTGAGGTACTTTTAGGTAGACTTGAACTTCCAACCTTCTGGTGACCAACTGAGCTCGCTAACAGCTGGCAACTCTCCCACCTGTCATTGTCCCGTCTTACTTCTTTTGCGCAGTCTGGCTGATTTTACCTCTGCAAGCCCTGAATTCCCTTTCTTCTTCCTCCTCCTCTCCGTTTTCCCTGTATGCTCCAAATACATTTTGGCATTTAATTAACTTCCCTCAACCTTCTGCATTTTAGGAAAGGGCACCATCATTCACTCACTGTGCCCCAGGACCAAAACAACAACAATAGCAAAACTACAACCATCATCAAAAAAAACACCTAGAAGTCATCTTTCTGTAGTTCTTTGTCCTCTCTTACCTTCTGTCCATCCTCTCAAAATGCCTCCCATGTCTGACCATCCCGTTCCCTCTGCTCCCAGAGTCTAAGCCCTTTCACCACCTGTAGAGATACTGAAGGAACAGAGGAGGAAATTCCTTTTGCTCATCAAAAAAGCACCAGCTACTTCGTCCATATTAGTTCTCTGAGTATATGACACTTTTTAGGAAACTTGCCCAAATATCTTTAATTCCTCTTGATCAGCAATCTTCCCTCAGACCGCACTGGGCTTTCTGTTTTCTCTCCCTTTGTTGTTGTTGTTATTGGTTGGTGGGCCTGTGTACATCAGAATGAAGCACTGCTGGGTGGTATGGCCAAGTTTAAAGCTCTGGTCACTGTGTCTGTCCATTTCATCTAGGGGTTTCCTTCATTTCACATACCCTCTACTGTGCCAAACTTGGTGGTCATTTCAAGTGATTGGTCTTCCCTGATATGTCCACAATAGGCAAGGGGAAGTCTCGCCATCCTTAATGCTAAGGAATATTCTGGTTGTATTTCTTCTAAGACTGATTTGTTCATTCTTCTGCCCGTCCATGATATAGTCAACATTCGATGTCAACACCACTGATCGTACCAGTTCCCTGAGTGCCGATTATAAACCTGTGCTGGCTGGCCCGTCCAGTTTCTTACAATGGCTCCCACGTTGAGTGGTGGGAACCAGCCCCTGGCTCCTCTTGGTCCTTGTGGTTGGTAGGGCTGACACTCCCAGAACTGGAGGTGGTCATGTGACCCAGGCTGTCCAATCAGAGCTCTGTGGTATTCAGAGTTGGTCATGTTGTCCCAACAAGTTCCAGCTGGGAAAATGAGCACCCTACCTCGGGGTTTTGTAGGTGCTCCCGGAAGAGTGCTCTTCCGACTGGGAGTCTAAACTCCCAGGACAGAAGCCAGAAACTGCTGTTGGCCATCACTATCCCACTTGGGGAAGATGCCAACAGAGAAGGAAGGAGGCCCCCAACACATTCACAACGACGCTGTCTAGGCACCTGGATACAGCCTGACCTGAAGTCAACTCTACTGTCTGGATTTCTCAAACCCACTGCCATCGAGTTGGTTCCCACTCATAGCAACCCTACAAAAACCCAAGCCAAACCCACTGCTCAGTCAATTCTGACTCACCATGACCCAATAGGACAGAATAGAGCAGTTTCTAACACTGTAAATCTCCCCGCGGCCGACAGTTTCATCTTTCTCCCTCGGAACAGCTGGTAGGTTTGAACCACTGGCCTTGTGGTCAGTAGCCCAATGCCTAGTCCACAGGGCCACCAGGACTCAAGACAGGAAAGTGTAAGAACTCAGTTTCTCACATATACAGGGTCTTCCCCAGATAGGAGTGGCTTTGATAACAGCAGCAGAAGTGAACTAGGCATCCTAATAATAACTTGCAATCTTATCCTTATGGATGCTTAAGGTAAAGACCAGACTGAGACAGACTAGGAAGAAAGGTCTGGTGATCTACTTCAGGATATCAGTCAATGAGAATTCCGTGGGTCACAACAACAAACTGTCTGAACGCCCCAAGTTGGAAGGCACACAAAAGACACGGTGGCCACAACGAAGAACCAATAACCATGAAGAGGGTGCAGGACCAGGGATGTTCTGTTCTGTTGAATGTGGCCTGGACCACAACAAGGCAACAACAGGACCGTGAGAAGAAAAGGTGAATCTCTGAGCAGGTTTGGCCTTCAGGTTTACCCCCTGGTAAAGAATGAAGGATTGGCTCTGAGGATCTTTAAGCTATCCTCTTAAAAACACAAACCAATGAATGAAAGAAAGGACACATGACCATGGATGACTAATTCACAATGTTTGCTGATCGTGTCTAAATGGAAAAAAAAAAAAAAAGAAGGAGAAGAAGAAGACGGTATGAGGGGGCTTCAAAAACGTTTGTGAAAAAATCCAATTATCTTTCAAGTCCATTTTCCCAACAAACTTTTTGAAGCCCCTTCAAACACTTTTTCATAAAGAGAAATAAGCAGGTTAAACACACACACAAACTCCAAGGGAATTTTTGCAAAGTCACCAGTTCAACTCCACCAGCTGTTCCATGGGAGAAGGAGGTGGCTTTCTGTTCCCTTAAAGATTTAAAGCCTCGGAAACCCCATACAGTGTCGCTACGAGCAAGAATTGACTCAGTGTCCATGGGTTTGGGTTTTTGTGTGTGTGGTGAATAACACAATAGACTGTAAAATCCTCCAAGTAAACCTCAGTATAAGTAAGAAAAGATAAGACAACAAAAGTATAAAGAATTGTACATGGGAAAAACAGACTTTACTCAGAGCTGTCTAACATTTTTACTCCAAAGTCCTGCCACCGGTGCAGGTTGGTTAAGGGACCAACCATTTATCCCAACCTGCAGAGCCACCCTCAGGCAAGGAACTGGGCACGCCCACAGTAGAAAGATGAAGAGGAGCCAGAAAAAGAGAGGTAACCAGGCTAGTCATTACGCCTGGACCAGTGTACCCAGAAGGAGTGAATAGAACAAAATGAATAATGTAATCAGGAAGCCAGGATGCGGATGGCGTTCATGAGACACATTGAATGGTGGGTACATTTCAAGGCAAGATTTCCAGGGTTTGAATAGAATGAAAAATAGGAAACATTATCTAGATAAGAATATATCAAATATAAGAGGAATCGGAGCGAGAGAGAGAATGAATTCCAAAAGAGTTGCAGGGACAGGAAGAAAAGGACATTTTAGTGGTTGCCAATAGTCATTTGTTTTTGTTTTTTAATCATCATAAGTAACATGTGATGTTGTGGAGAATGGAGTTAAGGGGGAGAACAATGTGGATATTGAGAAGAGGTTGGGTTAGAATCTATTTAAGTTTCATTTCCTTTCAACATGGGAGTTTTCGTGGCACAATGGATTAGTCAGCTAATGGAAAGTTTTGTCTTCCACACCCCTTCCTTCAACATCTCAATACAATTATACCACAAGTTTGGTTAAGTCCAAACTCAATGTTCACCTTTTATATAATTATGTGACGATTCACAACTGCATCATTTTCTTCTTTATACAACCCTTGGTGTTCCCTGGTTAAATTA